TGGGCGGGTTTCTTTTTAGATATCACTTGAACAAACCGCACGATGTCCACGTAAAGCATATCTGGGGCGGTAAATTGTGAAATTAAATACATAGATTGTTGCTACCCTAATATATAATAAACTAAATATGACCATAATACGTGTTATTAATCTATTAATGTACTACTAGTCTTCATGTCAGAAGCGATAGTGCCATGTTTGTATATCGGCACTTGTTCTAGACCATCTCTAAGATACTGATCGCCTGCAATCAGATAGGAGAATGCATTTTGAGAATTTGCCATGACTGGTGATCTGATATTGCTGTATGTGTATTTGAAAGCTCATTTGGTGTTGTATGCTATGGTTTCGGGGCGTTCATTCCTCATTCAACAAAGATAATACCCTTTCTACAAAATCCTCTACCAACTCGTTCTGCTCCAATCCACCGCTTCTCAAATTTGTCAATTTGAGGTTAGCAATTTCCTTCCTGTTCTCAAGCACAGACTCACCAGTAATTGAAGCATCATTAATAATCTTTAAAATAACCGACAAATGAAATTGAAGCGACTTGTACTTGAGCATCGACTGAATCTGGGAATCGTTTATTAACTTGTTAAACTTACTTGCCGGTTCGTGCGTCAGTAACACTTCCTTATTTTCGTTCTCTGCCTTATCCTTCTCTACTATACTTTCATGAGTATGACAAGGGTCTTTGAAACAACCAATAGAACAATAATTCACACTACACTTGGGACATTTGTATTTCGATTCATTAACATTGCAAATTCCACATATAGCCATTGTTCTAGGACTATGTTAATAACTAGATCAACAGTAATGGAAAAGTTTACGATGAGGTTTATAGGTGCGATGCCGCAAGAATAAACATATACAAGCACCTTAGGGGCTTATTACCATATTAGGAAGTCTAATTTCCATTCCACACGTTTTCATGAAACCGCAGTTACTATCGTATCAAGTAGTTATAATACGCGCGGAGACCAAATCGCGAAGTAAGAAATTTCAGCAATCCTGAATGTTGCCTTTAAGAAAGCAAGACTTCAGGCGCATGTGCGAAACAATAAGAAACTCGTAATTGTATCAGTGCATAGATAAATTGCAGGACAAATAAAAATTTGAAATTTATGGTCTGAGGAATGCCGATCACACAATAGGAGAGGATGTACAATTCAGATGAAGCCGAATTACTGCAAACATAAATTTTGAGATTCTATTATACAAAATGCCATATATACAAAAATAAAACCGTGCGCTAAAAGAAACGATATATGCTATTATGCTTATTGATGTTGTTACTGAGCCGTAAAACCAAATTCGAAATTCGTAAGCTCGTCTAGATTAATGCTGTTGCAAAACTTTTCCATACTTCCATAATCCATGTTGCTGTATGTGCGTTTTCTATCAAGAGAAAAAGGTGTTAATGGAGTCATAGGTGATTTGAGCGAAACAGATGCAGGGGAAGTGAAGTTGTCGTATAGTATGGGCGTAACAGGAATAGATGGTAGCGGGTTGGATGTAGGAGTAATTTTGGACTTGAGGTGATGAAGCGCATGACTAGATAGATTTGTATCGTTGAACATGACTTGCAAAAAGGTCCAGAAATCATCATTATCGATGGCTGTAAATGAAAGCTTGTAGTCAACCACGGACAAAAAGTGGGATTCGAGCTGCTTGATGATCTGTAAGTCGTAAGTGTAATTGATATTGCTGCTATTGGCAATGTTACACCAAGTTTTGCACGAGTAGCATTGGTCATCGAAGGTTTTATTGGCCAAAATGAAAGATGTGAAAATAAGATGGCTGATTATCGACATACCTTCTTCCACATCGATCGAACATACTGTATTGCTAGCATATTTGTATAAGTAATACCAGCTTATTATAAGATTTATAGTTGAGAGCTGAGACGAGCGTATGGTCTGCTTCAACTGGTTGCAATATTGAAGACAAAATTGTTTGTATGGTTTCTTGGAACTGTTATCTCTAGTGAGAATGTGGTACGATATTTTCATGAAAATATCTATATATTTGTCCTCAAACATTTCATATTATCATTAGGATTGATTATTTAATTTAACATAAATTTGCAATCGCAAAAATTCGATGCCAGAAATATATATATATATTAAGAAGTAAAGCGTAGCCATATCAAGTGTTCCTGTAGCCTGGCGCGTAAATGTATCCGGCATATCATGAATAAGTAACATCGCAACTTCAGTTTCACTCTTACAATAACATATCCGAACTAACCACTGGAGTTAAAAGATTATCTGGCATCTGTAACAAAAAATTTTCTGCTTTAATGTAACAGACAAATGAGCGCACTCATATTTTTCTGTGCGCCACTTGATTTCACAACCATACAGTAAACAACAAGGCCAATATTCAATTATCGCAACTACAAGCCTGTATTACCTAAGGGCAAGTGCAGCCAATTATTCTTGCCGCAGGCGCCAACCTTCTAGCGTACGAACCCAAGCGGCGTAAACGGATATTATAATCTTTACACCAATATATGTGATGCAACGTGCAGTACTGCAATTGTTTCAAACTGCTCGCATTGTCCACTCACAATGAAGAAATTGCATATATCAACGCGGACAACCTTAAATCGATCATGAAATGACCAGTCGCTCGGGCCATGTATTACGCATTGTTCCATGCTACCTCACCTATGCTTGTCCCTAGTCACACAATTGGTTTACAACATGCTGCATTCTATTGGTATAGGGGTATCAACGAGTATTGGGTCACGTACGTTTTGGGGGCTATTATTAGTTTTAAGCGTTTGTCATGGCGTACGCGAGGTCCAGATCTCAGTAGTTTGTTACACTTACACAGTCCCCCCCTTTAGCATGGCAGGTGGTGTAAGACCGCCCCATGCCTGTTACTCCTTGGAATCTACCAGTCATGTCGGAACATGACATCCGGCATATATAACAATGTCGCAATTTACAAATGAATGTCGTTTTTTGCACAGGCGTATGCAGATGAACATCGGCCTGAACACGAAAGGAGACAAATGTTGTTAATGTCGCTAACGTCGTTAGTTTTGCGACTTTTTCGCTCTTTAGTCTGGCGGGCTGGGCCTGACGTCATGGTGCTCATTATTTACTCCGTCATCGCGCCAAAGGTGTCAGAATTTTCACACCCAACTACTGCAAATTGATAGTTCTACCACAAGCTATAGTCTGCTTAGCACAACGGCTATTCCGATCAACGGTTGCTTCGAATTAATGACTTCGGCGGAGATGTAGTGTGACTGGCAACTTAATATGACACTTATACCAAGGCTGATAAAAGCAGTGAAAGATGAATGAGTCGTGTGCGCGCACACGATACTTTTATCCGATGATTTTTTTCACTGGGGCATTGCTGCTGTACGTTCCATGATATTGCTAATGATGACAATTCTTATTTATTTCAGTTTCATCTTATTGTAGAACAACTTAAGACAGTGCATCGAGTTACTAAGTATAAATAGTATAATATTGCACAAAAAAAGCTCATCAGCTATCAAATTTGAGTTAAAACTGGCCCTTTTTTTGAGTAAGGTTGAATCAGAATAGCAAAGGAAAGAAAGAGAATGCAGCATAAAGCCAGACATCCGCTTCTAAGGTTTAAAATTATACATTATTACATCATCCCATTCATTGCATTGATAGTATGGTGGGGGATGTTGATTGCCATGTTGTCTTGTTGGTCTCTTCAGGGCCACCCGGTGTATGCCTTCATGGGATATACCGACCAAAGTCCAGTTTACATTTCTGATATAGGGGCAACCAACTTGAAACCACTTTTCATCTCGTGCGCTGGCTTCCAAGCTATTTTCTTCGTGGGAACCTTAATCATGGAGTATTATCTTCGTACTGCTAGAAAGTTGCAGCCATATGTTTCTACAAAACAACCTAAGTTTGCTATCGTAAGTATTGTATTTGCGATCATCGGCCAATTGGGTATATTGTTTGTTTCTATTTTCGATACCGAAAATTATCATAAGGTCCACTTAAGTATGGTTGGTGTTTTCATTGCAGGTTGTTTCTTTGCTTGTTTCTTCAACTTCTTCAACTCGTTCATTTTTGGAAATTATCCTCACAGATTGAGTCCAGATCACGAAAAGGTCATTTTTGGTAAATATAGGTGGTCTAATGTGTACATGGTATCTTTCTTTTTGAAGATTTTCTGGATGATAGCTGCTGCTGCATTGGCGTTATTATTTGGTATATATATGCAAAAAGGTGACGATGATACGTCCGCAATTTTCGAATGGAGTATTTCATTCTGGTACGGAGTCTTATTGATCATGTGGGGTATTGACTTGTTTCCATCTGCTGTCAAACATTATAGAGTCAGACATCCAGAAGAATTTGACAATAGCTTCAAGCCTTATGATGGTAATGAAAAGGACGATGCAAGAACAATTCTGACTTATGGAGCTCCTACATATGCAAACTTTGACCCGGATAACCCAGATGCTCCAAATCACACTAATCAGGACGTTTTATCAAACGGACGTCCTTCTACCTTAGTCCAGGTCCCATACAACGAATTAGAAGGCGTTAATAACTATAGAAACTACAATCAAGTATAAACATATATTTCAAAGAGGTAATATCAGTGCCTGTTCCAATCATATTTATTCTTCATGTTGTTTTAATAGTTTTCTCGATAACTCGAGGTGTCAATTCCCAGATTTTATGAATATATAACCAAGTTAATGATAAAATTTTGTAGTAAAGTAATTGGGTATATATCGCAAACTGTAGGTCTCAATATAGTGTATTCTAAGATCTTATTGCTACAGAGATATTTAATTTTTATTACATGTAGATACCACTGGACTTCACTATATATGTAGTTGCATGCTTTACTTTTGACATTATCACGCAGAAATTCGAATGCGCGTAGTTGTGGTATAAAATTAATCGGACCGCTCACGGAAACTATTTCCTTACAATATTTATAGTTAGATTCTAAATAGAATACTGCAAGCGAATATGGATAAAAATCCAAGTGAAAATAATCAGTATTCAACAAATTCATCGGGCCAATTATTCAAGCCGAATAACTATGAAAAGGCGCCAATAATCCAATCAGGACAGCCCAACCCAATTGAATCAAATTTAAGAGGAATCACTCGACCATTGGAAACTTCGAGTCATCAATATTTACCTTATACTAATTATCAAGGTAGTCAGGGTTATACACTCCCCCCACAAGTTCCTACGCTGCAATTAGGTATGGATCCGACTTATACTTCTTCTCCGCAACGCCATCAATCGCTTAGTCAACCTCATTTACAAGGTCCATCACAGAAGGTCAGAATGAGGGTAAGCAAAGCATGCGATAGGTGTAGGAATCAGAAAATCAAGTGTTCTGGAACTATACCATGTAATACTTGTGTAAAACATAAAAAGGAATGTAATTATTCAACACAGAATAGTGTGCCGAATAACAATATGCCCAACTACGAAAATGTTCCTACCAAAAGAGCGAAAACAGAATCACCAATTACAGAGGGTAATTACTCCACATATAATAACAATCCTGTACCCCAAGATGCTAACGAAAGCAAGAACACTATCAATGAAAAGAAGTACATTAGTCATTTGGAAAATAGAGTTCAATATTTGGAATCCATACTTCTGGAAAATTGTACTACAACATTTAAACCAGTTGACAATAGAGACGTTGAAGAAAATAATGAAGGTGTGAAGAAAAAATTGATTATGTCAAGTAGTAAGTGGAGATATCTGCGTCGTCATCAAGTATTATTATCCGTTAAGCTATGTCTGACTATGTATAATAACTTATCGGAAGAAAATAAGAAAAAAGTGGTATTACCAAGGAGCCAATATTTTGGTTGGAATATGTCAGGATGTCACTATGTTTCCAACGAGAGATTGCCTGATTTACCTGATTTTCAGTTACCTTCTAAATCAGAAGTGTATTTTGATTTCTTTTTTCGTGAAATTAACTCTGTCTTTGCAATTTTACATGAAAATTTATTTAGAGATCAAGCAAGGGATTATGAGGAATTATTTAAAAGTCAAGTGCATTTGGATGCCAGTGAAAGAGATGCTAAAACAAACCAAACAAGGTTATTTCTGGCCATATTATATCTTGTCTATGCATTAGCTATAAGATTTCAAGAGTTTCAAAAGAAGGATGGACCCAGTATAGAAATTCTACAATTAGAAGAACAATTATTCAAGTACAGTTATAAAGTAATCTCTATATTAAGCTTCGAATGGGAATCGTTTGAATTGATACAGTCTTGGTTGCTTATAACATTGTACTTACGGATATCTCATAGGCAGACTTCATCATACATGGCTTTAGGGCGTGCAACAACAATGACACGGTCAATGGGGTTAGGAAAGAATAATCCAAAACTATTGACGGCAAAACCTTACATACGCTTAAAGGCTAAAAGAATATTCTGGTGTATATACACTATAGATCGATTATTCGGATTACTGTCCGGAAGATATGGTAGTCTAAATGATACTGATAATATGACACCCAGTGAAAGTCTTGACTTCGAAGCGGAAAGAGATTCTTGGTTAACCATGCCAGCATTTGCATTATTACATGTAGCAAGAATTTCGAACTTTATCCATACCTCTGTATCAGACGAGTTTGGCTTAGTTAAATTGCAACAAATTAATGGTGAATTGGACCGTTTGAATTCTTGGCTCAATGAGAATGGATTTGACAACCAATCATTATTTGAAGATACGAATCAATTTCTGCCATTAGTCAAAGCACAAGTGAGGTTACATTACTACGATTTGATTAATTGCGTACATGGTAAGCTCTTGTTCAATTACATTGGAACCAAAATATCAAACCAAGGTTTGAAGATTCACATGATTCTTGATTCTTGTGAGAGCATTATTCACATACTAGATCAAATAAACAACGCAAATTTGTTATACACACCCTGGTATCTATTCTTAACGTTATTATTTGATAGCGGTATCAATGCGATCACCTTGATCAATGCGGGAATGCATAACCTGAAGTGTAAACGAGTCCTACAAACTTCGATAAGGTTAATAACAGTTTTGAGTGAAGCGTCGGTAAAAAATAAAGCAGGAGATGTGGTTATTGGGGGCAGATATACTATGGCTAAGGAATGCTTATGGGCAATCAAGATGGCGAACCATATATTATCATTGAGGTTAGAAGAGGATATGAAGGACATCACCAGTTATGGAATTGACCACGGGTCTGCTGAAGTGAACAAGCAAACATTCGATCAATTTGGAGTTAACAAGCAAGGTGTTGTACCGGAAGAAAATTCGTGGCAACAATCGGACAATAAAGCAAAGAGACTGAATTCAATAATAGACAGAGAAAATTTACCTGCCAACCATCAACAAGAATCAAACTTTGCGAATGAGTCTGATATTGCTTCTAATTTAGATAATCCCCTTAAATATGATGAAAGCTCTATCGATTCTCAACTTAGTAATTTGCATTGGTTCGATCAATGGTTAGATTATAGTTATGATATTTAGTCAAAATATTATTTATTGTTATGAATTCATCGGTAAATCCGGTATGCATGCCCCATACCTATTGCCCCACTAACTCCAATAGCTTAAGAATTTCATAAATTTTTCGGTATAATTCATTCCCGCATTATTCTATAATTAGTATTGTTATACGGAATCGGAAATCCTTCCGCCTTTCACAGTGAATAAACGCTGAGAAAATTGTAAGATGTATTGTCGGACTGGAGTCTTACCCTAGTCTATGAATTAATAGCATATTAAGATGTAATGAATGCAGAAGTCTAAATCAGTTTAATTATTGTAATCGGAACAGATAAGATTTAAAGCGTAATAGTGATCAGAATCTATCAATATTATCTAGTCGGGCGCATGAACTGTAAGACTGTACAGACTGGAAAAAAAATTCCTTACCAACCCCAATAACTTTCCCCAATAATCCGGAAAAATTTTATGTGCGGATACCGCCGGAAAAACTTTTCATAGGTAACAAACCATCATCGAAACTTACACAACAACCGATTAGGTGATAACTAATCTGAATAAATTTTCTCCCTCTTTTTAGCTGCTGCTTCATTTGTTTCCACACTATATATTAATATACCATAACGTGTGAAAACTTTGGACTATTTCTCCAAGAAACCTCGATAGAATTTAATACATTTACAATTTACGATAATCCCCCTTCCGTTTACCATAAATAAAAAGCTTAATTATTTTCGTTTAACTTTCACATAAATAACAGAGCCAACAATATGCCACCCAAGGAAAAGAAGAATAAGGATGAAAGGCCATATAAATGTACAATGTGTGATAAAGCCTTTCATAGGTTGGAACATTTGACCAGGCATATTAGAACACATACTGGAGAAAAACCACATCCATGTACGTTTCCCGGATGTACTAAGAAATTTTCTAGGTCTGACGAATTAACTAGACATCTAAGGATACATAATAATCCTAGCTCGAGGAAGAAGAATAGAGTTGCCGGTAATTTCACTATGGAGTCTGACAATGATCCAAACAAACAAATGAACCAACAACCACAGCAGTCACTGCTGGTTTATAACCAAATGCCTACTGCGGCCATACCAGTCACTATTGATAGAAATGGAAATCATATATACCACCAACCTTACCCTGTGTATTTTATTCCACAAACACAACAAAGCAGCCAGCTGCCGATTCAATCACCTCCACAACAACAACAACAACAACAACAACAACAACAACAACAACAACAACAACACCTGCAGCAGCAAGGAAATACCTATCAAAGTCAAACACCTCCTATTTCAATTAACCCACGACCTTACCAACAACAACAGTCAGCTGTATTTTCTTTGCCATCGTCACCTACGAACTTTCTGTTTGCCAACCAGATGGGCCAACAACAACAGTCGTCGCAACCATCCCAGCAACCATGTCAACAAACAAATTCGCTTCGCAAAGCGTTGTCTTCGGAAACTATCAAATTACCGTCGATAAATTCAATAAATCCTAAATCACCTACTTCTAGAGGACACCCAATATCAAATTCAGGCTCAGCTACATCCATAGCATCCGGTAACCATATATTCAGTCAAACCAGCAGCATGTCAAGTGGAAATTCTGCCCCGCATTCGTTAAGCACCACTCCTGATAATTATACCAATGGCTCGGCTATAAATAACCAGTCGTTATCAAATTTGAAGGATTATTTTCACCAACACCATCTGAAACCAAATAATAAAATATTCAATGCCAGTTCGAACTCATTATCTTCCATGTCAGGAAAGATGAAGTCATCATCTGCTACAAATTTGGCATCATTGAATAGTTTATCGTTGCAGAGATTAACACCTATCAAGCCGTTAAATTCAAATACCAGAAGCAATAATAACACGCATTCCAATACCCCAGTTCCACAATATCCTTCAAATGTTCCAAAGCAAGATTCATCGACATCTTTAAATCTTGAATTTTATATGCCTTCGGCCAAGAAATCAAGACCAAATTCTCCAGTGCAGGTACCAACCTCCCATTCGAGCTCAGCTTTGCTCCAACCCCAAAGTTATTCACATAATGATGTTTCACACATGATGCTGCATGCGTCAACTAACCCAGCGTTCATTATATCGCCTAACGAAACACCACTACAAACACCTTCGCAATCTCCACATTTTGGTCCACAACAGACGCCAATGGATAAATCTATGAACTCGCTTAATTTACTTAACGCAGCAGCCCAAAACTTACAACAGCATGAGAATAGTACGTCGTCTACTCCTAGCGAAGAAACCATTGCGACCACAGGAACACAATTACCTCCAATTAGATCGGTGTTTGATTTCGCTAAATTGCATAAATGAAGCTCCCGGTATATTTGTTTATACTATCTAGGATATATATAGAATAATTTACTTCGTTTTTATATTGAGATCGTTCTTTTGTACCAGTGATACCAGTGAACTACTCCTACGAGCCTGTCCCACATCTGATTTCCGTAAACTTCTGCTCTACCCCATATCTTATACGATAAAGAGAGCTTGCCATCCAGATGTATGCTAATCGTCTCGTCGTTTCATAATATCATTCTGATGCTTCAATGCACTCTATCAAGGGTGCATATTACATCATGAACATCATGAACATCATTACCCCCACCAAAAAATATGCCACCCACCAGTAGCTTACTACTGGGCACGACATCAGTCAAACGACATTCACATAACAATTCCACGACATTATCTCGTCCCATTACTAGAGTAACTCAGGGCTCAGAATATCGGCTACACCCTATCCGAATCGATGGCTGTGAAACATCATGATCAGCGTAAGCCAGCATCATCAACGATCCCAAACACGATCGGATCCCATGAGGTAAGCACCTCTCGTATTACAGACTGATATCCTCCTACCTATTGGCCCCTCTACATGATCGCTTCGCCATATATGTAATCTAGACCTACTCGTACTGGTGGGCTGGACTACGTGAGTCACACACGGACGGGACGACCACGATTGTACGACACCGACAAAGTACCCATTAAACCAAGAACGGAAGTTTTTGCGATTTCATCTACCTCTCTCTGATATTCGTCCCGTGAGTTGCATGATTCATATACACGAGTGCTATCGACTCAAGGCTACATACCGTATCAGCAAGACACATTAACGACAGTTCGCAATTGTCGCATTAGCCATCACACCCGTAATATCATGGGAATACCCTCGCAATTACCCCCCGACGGATGCTCTGGACCCCTTGCAAGAACCTAGCTGGTCATCAACAATCCGTAACGCCCATTACTCTGGTATCAAACCAAAGGTCCTGAGATCCCACTGTACTATTTCCTACAAAATTACACCCTTCTGTATTATTTTATAATCGTATTTGCCACATCCTGTTGGGCTCACACACACACACGTATCAGATGAGTCCCGTATTCCCTACCCAGCTCGATATTTTTTTCATATTACTCTGTAGATGACAGCAGCCATTGGACAAAAAGAAATAAGGTCTGTGTGGTTTTGTGTAACTTTGCCCATCAGCAAAAATTTTCGTCGTTGTGCGGTAAACACCGTCTACTCAGAATACAAAATGAACAGAAAGTAATTAATTCTTTTACTATTCCCTTTTTTCATTAATCTATCCTTTATTCCTTTTATTTTGAAATAAATATACAACAAACTACTGGTTATATTAGCTTATAATTGGGTACTATTTATTTCTTATAAATTAAAAAAAACACGTTTATTTCTGGTTTTTTTTTCACACAGATTAATTTATTAATACATTGATTTTTAGGATAATACCGTTGTATTATTGAATCAATAACAGAAGAGACGCAATAGTTACTTCTGAATTAATCGAATTAATCTAATCGTTGAAAAACTGGTGGTTATTGAGATATTAAGTTATTGTTAATAGACGCCGTCAGGGTTATTTCAACAGAAAAAAGGCTCAAACAATTCATTTCGAAACGAGCTTTTCAATAAGTCATCGTTTTCATTAGATTATAATATTATTTGGATAGCATCTAAGATGTATCAAACACAAAATTATTTTCAAAGTTTAGGGACAGCCGGACATAGAGCTACTTCGTCATACAACTACATGCCGCAGTACACTCCAGGCAATTACTACGACCCATCCCAGTCACATCATAGACATACAAGATCGTTCTACTCGACGTATCATCCGTCGGGGCCTCCACAAGCTCCGCAACCACAGTTCATGGCTCCTCCGCCACCTCCTGTACAGGCGCCACCAATGTACCAAGAACAACCTAGTAATGGAGGTATCAACTCCGTGTTGGAGTACGACCTCAATAACATGGCCACCTTTTTGAGTTGGTGTACTTACGGAATGTTGAAGCAGGACAAAACTCCTACCAAAGAATTTGAAAATTTGATTGTATCCGTATTATTCGCAACTAGATTACCAAAGTCAACGATTATCATTGCTCTTGAGTACATGAATCAGAGATTTTCGAATAAGAATTTCGGTGATTTATTGGAGCAAGAAATATTCACTAAGTTGATTGTTTCGTTAGTGTTGGGTAATAAGTTCAACGATGATAATACTTTCACTAACAGATCGTGGTGCGGAGCAACCGGCTTACAAATCGAAGTCATCAATAAGGAAGAAAAAGATTGGTTGAAGGAGATCAACTGGCAATTAAATGTGGTCAACTTCGAAACCAACATAAAAACATTGGAAGAATGTTGGAAGACCTGGTTGGAGAAGTACAGTGGAAACTCAAAGTACAACTCCCCAGCTGTGCCGCAAAACTATTCTCCATACACTCCACAAGCTACTTACCAGCCTACTAGTATCCCATCATCGCCAGTTTACCACGAGCCTTCTTATTCGTACGGCTATGCATCTTCCCCAATCACATCATCCCCTATAAAATATGCTCATGAATCTATATGGTCGAGCTCTAATCCAGCGGCCAAGAATAGTAATAATAATATATGGACATATACTCCATCGTATCAATATGTTCCAAATAACGGTC